GTACATGTTGTCTTCATATTTTGTATTTCCGCGGGGACTAGGTTCTGTTCCTTGTTAGAATCAAGCGTCAGAAGGGAGCAAACTGGTCTGAAGGCTGTTTATCTGCCATCTCAGTTTTCTGCAACAAGCTTCTAGAAGTGCTCATCTCCCATGGTACCACTCTTCCCTGCAGCTCCCCATGACTTTGAAGAGAAAACAACACTACTTCCGTGTGGATTTAAGTTACAAGAAAGGATATGACACTGTTCCCTTTTTGTAACAGTTTCTTTAACTGTTGTTTCCCCCACCCACCCACTATAAACAAACATTAGGTGAATGGTACCTTCTGCTCCCTAGCAACAACCACCTACCTTTCCAATTTCTTATTCTCTAAAAATAAATACCTGGCCAAGCTTTTTAATTTCGATTTCACCGACAACTCGTATTGCAACATAGCACCCTTTTAAAGTTGTCTTTATAAGCACACCTCCCAAATGCTGGTAAGGTTCATCTGGAACATTTTTGGCAATGATGCATAAGGGACTTAAAATCCTTTACTTGTAGGACATCAAGATTTTTTTCTGTGTGAAAATTCGGCAAGGATTTCAGTACAACTGGGCTTCATTTTGTAGATTTGGAAAGAACTACTTAGAATCGTAACATTAATTTTAGCTTTAGTTAAGGTCTGTTTAATGTGAAGCACCCACTTTACGCTGGCAGACAAATTACCAAAGGGGCAACTAGAGAATGCATGAATGATATTGTACAGACAAGCTTTTTATTATTTATTCATAGAAAACAGTGGGTTTTGGTGTGCTGCTTTGAAAAATGTTCAAACTAGTAGAATATAATGAAAGCACAGTGAAAATTCTATTTCATTAACATTTAATCATAAATCGCTCTTTAATATAAAACATAAAATAAAAGTCTGTCATAAGCACTTAGGTATAGGGAATGGAGAAAGTCTGCAGAAAGAGGAAAGGAAATATTGCAGTGGTTTTCACTGTTCTTGTTACTGTCACCTCAGAAGAAAAAAATAAGCAAAGAAAGAAGAGTCTTCAGCTAAATCTCACAACTGATCATGAAGAAACTGCTTAGACATTTATTGAAAACTTATATTTTGCTGGCTATTATTACCAACATCTTTAGACAAGGAAACAATTATTTTAGCGAAGTCACAACAGCTCAGGAGCAGCAATCTTCATCAGAACTCTGCTACCCAAGAAAAAAAAAGCAGAACTTCTAGCTGCCAAAGCAAATTCAAAAATCTATCCCATGAAATATCTATTATCATGTTTATCTTATAACAAGTATTCTCAAATTCCCCTTGAAGGTACACAAGAGTGCTGCACAGATAACAAGCTCTTATGCACTGTAGAGCTTCAAGGCTTATAGAAGATTAGATCTTTATAAAATACTACAGACTTTCTTTTCAAGACCTCTTGTCAGAGAGGTCTTATTCCTTATTCTATAAATATAAATGCAAGACTATGCTATCAGTACTGATTTGAATAACACACTATCAATTAGCAAAATGCATCTGTAGACACAGAGGATACAGGCCACATTTTTAAATTTTTTTTTAGGTTTAGACAAACTGCACATTTCTGACATAGAACAGAACAATTCTCCTCATTGAAGACCATCTGTCAGTAACTGCTCTCTGTAAGACTTGGAGTTTTTCTGATCATATCTTCTTCCTCCTCCTCTAACAGTTCCCTCTTTACCTAACAAATGGCAGCCACCACCTGAGCAGAATCTGTACCCACAGCCCTTTACACATTTCATTGTCAAAGGCTAGAAAAACATGTTTGACTCCTGTCAACAACAGTCTTGCCATACTGGAAAATTGTTTGAGAAACAGTAGAAAATAAGCATCAATTACACTATTGTGACTTCTTTCTCCCAGCCATCATTAAAAATTCTGACAAGTCAGGCAAGAAACCAAAACTCTTGATACATTTTGCCATAAAGCAAACAAAAAAAAAAACCCAAACAAAACAAATCTAAAAGCACCTTCTCATCTGCTTTGCTTACATCCCAGGGGCTGCTCAAACAGCCAGCTCTGCAGCCTGCTCAGGAAATGAGCGTTTAGGCAACAGAGGTTTTCCCAGAGGCGAGATTTTTTTAAAGGAAAATAAAGCCCTTGGAGGATGCTTCCTTTAAGCAGCCTTCTCTGTTTTACACTGATGTGGATTGAGCATAAAGCCTCTGTTGATCACAGCTGAGTTAGGAAGGCTGAAGAGAAGCAATCCTCCAAGCAGGCAGGTTCCAAGCTCTTTTTTTTTTCCCCCAATAAGGCTCTTTGCTACCAGGTAACCTTACCAGGCATTCTTTCACTGACTTTTCTGCTGAACAGTATGACTGTGCATGGTAAGGAACTGACATTGTGGGCATTAAATGATAAATTAGAAGTAAGTGATAAGACTGTAATTCATGAACTGTGGGCCATTATCTCTTAATGCATTTGGAATCCCAGAGTGAGCAACTTGCAATTCACAAAGCAGTATTACATTGCTCTGCCCCATGTTGTGCAACAGTTCAGTAATTAGTGAGTAACGGTCTACAAACTAAACACAAAATTTCCCATTTAATCCATACAGATTCATGCCACCTCCAGAGGATGAAGGACAAGCAGACCTATCACTGTATCTTTTGGTGTCAGTCCTTTTCTTGCTAATTGTTTTTCTCTGATTGCTGCATGTTATTTTTGCACATGTAACTTTGAAAACGGTTTCTATTCCTATCTGGGCGAGTTGATTTACTTTTGTACAGCTCTACCTAATCAAGACAATCAATGTAAACTACTCTTGGCATTTTTATCTGTAGCTATTCTTAGCATTTCCTCTCTTCCATATCCTCTGAACAGACACAATAATGTGCAATAACTTTAGAAACAAAGTCTACATGCTTAGAGGAATGTGAGGTATTTCTGTCGGCCATTCATTTCCAGAAAATGCTTCAAAAACTTCTAAAGGAGAATCATCCCTTTTCTTGTTGAAGTGTATTATAAAAAATGAACCCTTAAATAAATCTGTGATTGAGTAATGCAAGCTTTAAGATTCTCTCTTCCCCCCCCCCCAGTCTTTATCAGAACTCCTAAAACCATATCTGTTTTCAGTTAAGTCTCACGACAAATCTGATTTTGAACTTATGGTGACTTAGGGCACTTATTTCATATGCTTGTTGCTCAGTTCACATTATTTAGCCTTACTTGGTGCAACCAAAAAAAAAACCCCAACTCCACTAGTTAGCTCACATCACAATTTCTTGTAACATCTATCCAAAGGAACATGACATTTCATATATAGAAGAAAGGCCTCCTGAAATTTTGCATTCACTTTGTCTAGCAGTTTGGCATCATCTTCAGACTTACTACATTGCAGTACAGATTCCTGACACTCCATCACTATAGATTATTTTTTTGCTAGATCTGCTGCCATGCTATTTGTTTCCTAGAAATTTCTAACTAAGGCTTCCAACTAATAGCTTCCTTTGGACCTTTCTGGACAAGAATATTTAAGTACTTTTGCTTGTCTACTTTTGGTGGAAACTTCATTTGACAAGATAAGAGTGTGATACACTGGTAGGTTTATCAGCAACCTTCTGTGGTCTAAAGAGATACTAATTAAAAAGGAGATTCTTAGGCATTTGACTCAAAGCATGTGAGCAACTGAATAGTCTTCTGGGACATAGAGATGTCCATTTTCCATATGTTATGGTTACAGTCACATTATGCAGGTACTGATGCTGGTAGCTACTGTCATGCTTATGATGCTCATTTTCTTATCAGACTTAAATTTTTAATTATTTTTTTTTTGTAATCATGTAAGAAACAAACTTCACTAGCACTTCAGTCAGTTACAAAACATGCTAATTTTGAAATGTGCAATTATAGTTTGATACAAGACTGGCAATGACAGATATTCTTAAACCTGTCCAGGGTGCTCCTGTAGACTCCACTTTCATTTGCTCACATTTTAACCATGCTTTCAATGTCCAAGTCTGCTTTAGGCTGGCAAAAATCAGGAAGTTCCAGCTGAAACCAGAGTTACGCTGGATGCTAGAATGAGCAACAGTACCCCTTGGGAATGAACTGCAAATCCCACTGATACTCCCTTTGTGCATTCTGAATGCCTGAGAACAACAAATACTTACAAGTATTTATGAATTAGACTTCAGGTGGTTTGGTGTCCAAGAACAGTGGACACTTCTGACAACTATAGCTATTTCTCACCGTGATGTGGAAGAAAAAAAATAATTTATATATGAATATAATTTGTGAAAGAATGTACCACAGACAAGTGTCACAGCAAATCTTATATTACAATCAGTATCTTTACATTCAGCAAGAGATTTCTATTATATGCCATGAAAAATAAGGTCTTGTGCTACAATATGAACAATGAGTTTAAAATGAAATATTGAACAGCTGCTCATTTCATGAAAACCCTCCATCCAGTGTAACAAATGATAGAGGAGTCATACAGAAAGAATAGTTTGCAGTAATGCAATTAAAACCCTTATCATAAAGTACATGCAAAATGGCTTAAGCAGCGCCTTAATTTGATGCTTTCTTAACTTCTGACTGCGTAGCCCATATATGGTTTTTTAAAGTTGAGAATTTTTTATTCCTGTAATTAACAGTAGATCTTACACAGGGAGAACTTCCTTCATCATCCAGCCAAAGGGCATGTGACAAAGGACTATATAGTATTCTCAAAGCTCATTTGTATGGGGCTGGAATTTCTCAGTCTGGGCTGCCATTTTTCCCACTTTACGTTCACAAACTCCCCTCTCGATCTGCGGTAGCGTATGTTTGTGGTAGGGAGGGACAGATGCTCAATCTCAACAAAGATCAATGTGGCTCCTGGGAGCACCGTAGCATCTTTTCTCTGATATTAGACTTTGCTATCCTGAGGCTGTTCCTATGTGGCAGCTTAACAGGTTGCTAGTTTGTCTTTAAGATAGCTCTCTTTATCTTATTTTTTAAAACAAGAACGTATATTTAAAAGACATACCTGTCCAATAATAAGGGGGACTACAACAGTCATGAACAGCTGCGAGAATATAGATGTAAAAGGCACAGAGGAGGATGATCCAAGCTACAAAATAAAAAGATACCATTAATATTGCACTTTTTCTGAGTATTTGCAAATTTCATGCATAATATTACACATTAGTATACATTTTACATTAAGCATAAAAACTTAGAAGTATGTGCATGAACTGTTTAACTGTTAAGTCCAAATAAAGCATTTGGCATTCCAGAATAACAAAACTAAAACAATCTCTGCTTGACTATTTTAAAACCTGCTACATATATATATGCCGAGTAAACTATACAAGCATTTGTAGGATAATAATCTAAAAAGACAGTGAGTGAATCTTCCTAAACAAACAGTTAGCTCAACTAACCTTACCATTTATACAAACAGCAAGCAACAAAATTTGCTGTGGTTATTGCAACCAATCAATCAATACATACATAATAGTGAAAAGATGATGAGAGTAAATTACATCGCACTGAAGATTTCACAGATCCACTTTATTTTATATTTTGCACTTCACTTTAGAGATCCTCAGAATTATGATAGAATTCAGAATCTTTTCAGCTCCATCTAAATGATGCTGATTTCCATTCTCACATATGTAATTCTCTTAAATTATACTCAGACTGCATTATACTTTTTACACTTTTTTTCCTTTCAAAGCTACCTGCAGGTATGATAGACAAGGTGATCATACAATCCAACTACTTCCTATAACTCTGCCTAGAAAAATCAACATATGGCCATAAAAATGGGTTTGGCATAAAACCAGTTTCTTCAGAAATTCCAAGAACAGAAAAATAAAAAAATTCATGTAATGAAGTATTTACTTGATTTAGAAATGCACAACTGCAACTTTTACCTACTGAAAATAATCTGATGAGAAGATGCTAATTATACCACTTTTCCAGTGGTTTACATGTATATGCACTGCCTTTTGTAAATGCCACTTGATTATTCACTGCTTGGGAAAATGATGAGCACACCTACAGGGCTGTCTTTGTTGGTTCATGTAAATGGCACCAGAACTGGGAAACAGTTCAAAATGGAATTAACTTCTGACACTAGGAAATCACAGGTCTTGGAGTGTTGCTTGGCCAGCTTAGAGTTTAAGAGCATGGAACCAGACCAAACCTATTTTCTTTAAACGTGCTCCATCACTTGCTTTCGTAAGTCCCTTTCTGAGGGCAGAGAGCCTTGGGATATGGCTGTTTACTATGAACTACCTTAACTGGCAACATCAGGTTGCCTATGTAATAAATTACAGCATCTCATCCCCATCACCTCCAATTTTAACAATGTGGGCACATAAGACAGTTGGTATCATGTTCAGGTTCCCTCCATCACCAAGATTTTTGGTCTGCAAGTAGGGTATAAGTGAGAACACCAAGATTAAGGAGCCCAAATTTTCCATGGAGTCAAGAATGAGAAGTAAAGGCTTCATTCAGATCACCCACATGAGTACCTAAGTCAGGCAGTACAGCTACTCCATTCCCAAAGGACACGGGGCTCTCTGCCCGATTCCTTGCAGAAAGTGGAGCAGAAAACTCCACCATACCACTCATGATCTCCTTGTTTTAATTCTTGTTCGGAGCTTCTGAAATTTTAAAAGGTTCATAGTTTTTCAAACTGTATTTGGACTTATTTTTTGCTACATGTGGAGGAGCTAAAAGCATTACTTACTGCGTATTCAAGGAAGCTTTTTCAAGTGAAAGTAAAGATTTTTAAACTTTAAAATCTGCCTGGCTCTCAGAGGAGTGAATCTAACAAAGAAGTCTGCATGCCTGGCCCCCCTGCATAGCTTCACAAAACTGTGACACTCTGTCAGTGGCTCTTTTAATAAAAACATTGATTGGACTTCTCATGCTACTTTATGCTCAGTGGATGGATAATCAGTTTCTGAGTCAGGAATGAAAAAAACTGAATAACAGTATAACACACTGCTGAAAAAGGCAGCAATTCAAACAGCAAGAGTCTTCCAAGCTTTGAAAAATGTTACTTCGAATGTAGGGTCTTCAAGCTATTGTGGATTCTGAAGTATTTGGTATATATAAGGCAATGTTTTGGTTTAGATGTGGGGTTTTTTGGGGTTTTGGTTGGTTGGTTGGTTTATTGCATAATTAGAAACTGAATTACAAGTACTGTGCTGGAACACTGAATCAATTTACCTGGGAAAAGTAAAATTTTATTCTTCAAAGAAACAATCTTCTATATCAGGATTATCAGCCCACCCACTCATCTCACTGTCATCTGGACCACCAAAAGGCCACATTTCAAGTAATCATCTCACACTGATTGATTTTAAACAAAACAGAAATCCACATATCCATCATTAACCCTCCTTTTGTCCAGAGGAGGTGAGTTCTTCAGCTATATCTGGTTTGTAACAGAAAAAAAGCCTTTCCTTCTTGTAGAACAAGTCAAGTTTTTCTGCTTCTAGTATTACTCCTCTCCTGGATGATCATATGACTGCACTATTTTTGGATCTGTTACAGTTGTGTAGTTGAGAATCATATTATTCTGCCAGTTTCCAGCACCTTCACTGTTTTCTACAGAATAGAATATTGTCATTGTTATGACAATAACTTTAGTGGACAGGTTTTTTTTATCAGAATGTATTTGTTAGACAACATCTACAAAAAAACCTGTCCACTAAAGTTATTATCAGAATGTATTTGTTAGACAACATCTACAAACTCTTGTAACACCCTAATCTTAAATCTATTCCCAGAGAAAGACACAGAAGGAAAGTGGTTCAAGAAAGAAAAGGCAGAACTTCTCAATCACACAGATAAAAGAGGTTTTAACCCAGAATCTGGACATACAGTGGCTAATCATGAGGAATCACAAGTCCTAAAGGACCCATGGCTATGGAGGACTAACCTGACCAGGACTGCCTCAACGTTTTGTAATATGCAAGCTCACCAGGTTCACAAGCATGTCCTGTGGATCCTCAGACACTACTTGAGTTTCAAGCTTCCTTTGAACTTGGGTACATTCATTACATCCACTTAGACTGAGAAGTGAGGAACAATGGCAACAAAAAGCTTTGCATAATGCTAATCAAACCTTCCTACAAATTTACAAATACTCTGAAAAAAAATTAATTTTCTCTAGATTTCAGTCAGATCAAGCTAAGTTCCATATTACATTTGCTGTGACAAAACATTTTTTTAAAAAACACCTAGATGATCTGCACTGCACCAAAATTAGCATTATGCTAACATGTCTGATTTGGCTGACCTCCTTGTTATAGTAATCTCCATGCCTAAAAACAAACCTTTCTTCACAAGCAAACAAATAGAAGCAGTACTGTAAGAACTACTGTAAAATCATAATAGACTCAAACTGCTGATTTATAGATATAAAAAATAACCTGTTTGGAATCTCTTATGAAAATAAAATCATAGAAGCATAGAATGGCTTGGGTTGGAAGAGACCTGAAGGATCATCTAGTTCCACCCCACCCGCCATGGGCAGGGACAACTCCCACTAGACCAGGTTGCATAAAAGCCCCATCCAACCTGGCCTTGAACACTCCCAGGGAGGGGGCATCCTTGAGCAACCTGTTCTAGTGTCTCACCACTAAATAATTTCTTCCTAATATCTAATCTAAATCTATCCTCTTCCAGTTTAAGGCCATTACCCCTTGTCCTACAAGCCCTTGTAAAAAAATCATTCCCCAGCTTTCCTGTAGCCCCTTCAGGTACTGGAAGGCTGCTGTAAGGTCTCCCCAGAGCCTTCTCTTCTCCAGACTGAACAACCCCGACTTTCTCAGCCTGTCCTCATAGGAGAGGTGCTCCAGCCCTCTAATCATCTTTGTAGCTCCCCTCTGGACTCACTCCAAGAGCTTTATGTCCTTCTTATGTTGGGGACTCCAGAAATGGACACAGTACTCCAGACAGGGTCTCATGAGAGGGGAGAAGAGGGGAAGCTGAGACAGTAATTCCTACATAACATTTCACAGCAGTCTAAACAGAGCTGGCAGGTCACTAGGATATCCTTCCTACTCCACTGCTTTAACAGCATTCACATGCAGAGTGTTCAGATACCTTGGTAAGCAAAACAGAGAAGCTGAGTAAAAGATGCCAGCTCCCAGCAACTGAACAAGAGTCACTGTACTGAAATTGTCCATCTCTAACGGGTGTTAACAGCAGGAGAGGGAAGGGAATGCATATCACTGAGAACAGAGCTTCTATATTAAGAGAAGAAAGAGGGTTTGGCATTTCAAAAACAAATAGGTTTCAGTTTCCTAGCACTGGCAGAATCGAAGGCGTGAGAAAGAATTTATTTACATTTTAAAATAAAGCTTTTAATTCTGCCTATCAAAAACTGCAAGTTGTCTCTTACCTCAGAGAAAGGCGCTAAAGGTACAACAGAGATCACGTTCACTGCCTTGGCAGTCATGCATTTTAACAAATGGTTCTTTCATTGTTATTTTTAAAAAATAAAGGCAGACATAAGTCTCTTGTACTATCAAAAAAAAAATTTAAAAATGTTCTGGCCTTATGGTATGTTTTGCAAATTCTTACATATTCTATATGCTTCTGTGGCCATGGGACTTGATTTGGAACAAACACAAAAAACCCTAGCTGTCTACATAAACCCTCCAGTTTTGTTTAAAAAAACCAAACTCACAACAACAACAAAAAAATCTGTTTCATAATCAGAATTGTAGAAAAAAGAAAGCTGGTAATCTGTTTTGTTTTTTGTTTTTGTGGGTTTTTTTGTGTGTATTTTTTTTCTGGCTTGAGCAAGAAAATATATTGGGGTTTTCCTTGTTAAAGTGATCACAGATGCTTAATCCTGTTCTGGGTTCCCCTATGTCACATTAAATGCCAAGCCAATCCAAACATACCTGTTGATTTGAGAGCCTTTTATAGAGCTATAAAAATAACCATAGGTATTGTCAATCTGGAATATAACAGAGCTACTCTTCCACTTCACCATGATACAATGACTTCGAGAACTAATGTAAAGAAATGAGATCAAGCATACAATCCAAAGCCAGCTAAATAGCAGTTAGATGATTAATACCTTTGCAGAGCTGAGAC